AGTGGGCATGCGAGGGAAGGAAGGGTTCACCAGGTATCTTGATGCTCCTGGCAGGGGTGGCCCCAAAGCCCAGTGCCACGCTCACACATACATGCAACTGCAGAAGAGCAGGCACCCGGGCAGGCCGCGGCCATGCGGTGTGTCCTGGGCTCTGCGGCTGACCTGTGAGCAGCCGGAAGCCAGGCAGGTGCACCGTGTGGGGGCGGTGTGTGCGTGTGCAAGGTCAACCCACTCCGGGTCACACCTGCGCTGCCACCCAGGACTGCTCGATCTGGGGCGAGCCCACGTCCACCGGCCCCAGCATGCTGGCTTGGAAAGGCCGGGAGGACCAGAGCCAGGGACATCATTAACCTGCTTCCCTCCTCTTACAAGGACACAAAGCACGTTTGGAAATTTCCACTCCCAGGGTCCCCTTTGGACAGCAATAATGCCGGTGGCTTCTGCCAAGCAGGAGGCCAGCTCTGGAGTGTCCCCTCTGACCCGCAGGAAGAGGACATCCACGGCCTGGCCAGACCTTCCGACTCCCACTGCTGCATGCGAGGGCTGACCCCGAGAAGTGGACACCCACAGTCCCCCTGTCCTGGCCTCCTTGCCGGCAGGGCAGCCAGAGCACCTGGAGTGCAGGAGGGCCGCCGCCCTGCTCGTAGACGGCATGCCATCACAGCGCTGTCCTCAGCACCTGGACACCAAGCCCTGCCAGCTCTCCAAACCCCAGCAGTGACATTTCAGTCAACCTTCAGGCACCTTCTGAAACACCAGGAAAACAAGGGAACGTGAACTTGCAGCCCATGCCTACAGACGCAGGCCCTTCCAGGGCAAGAGCTCTCCCTCTGAGGCTGGCCGAAAGGAAGGCAGCCGGTGTCAGCAGCGGAGCACTTTGGGGTCTCAGCAGTGAGCAGATGCCCAGCCTAAGGAAGGAGCGGAAGATGTGAGCACGATCAAAGACAGATGGACAGCCACCAGCCACGTGACAGTGTCCACGTGTCCTCACAGCCATGCAGGGTAAGCAAGGAGACGTGGTCCACGGGAGGCACACGGGTGTCCATGGGGGGTTCACGGGGTGTCCAAAGAGGGTGCATAGTGAGTGCACAGGGGGTGCATGAATGTCCACGGGTGGTGCACAGGTGTGCACAGGGGGTGTGCATAGGGAGTGCACAGGGGGTGCATGGGTGTGCATGGGTGTCCACGGGGGGTGCACAAGAGGTACGTCGGGAGTGCATGGGTGTCCACGGGGGTGCATGGGGTGTGCACAGGGCATGCATGGATGTGCACAGGGGGTAAACGGGGCACACAGGGAGTGCACGGGGTGTCCACGGGGGATGCACGGGGTGTGCACAGGGAGTGCGGGGGGGGGTGCATGGGGCGTGCATGGGTGTCCACGGGTGATGCACGGGGTGAGCACAGGGCATACATGGAGTGCATTGAGTGTCCACAAGGGGTAAACAGGGGGCACATAGGGAGTGCACGGGGGGATACACGGGGTGTCCATGGGGGATGCACGGGGTGTGCACAGAGGGTGCATAGGGGGTGCATGGCTGTCCATGGGGGGTGCACAGGTGTCCCCGAGGACAGAGAGGGACCACTAGCAGGTGACACGCGCACAGAAAGCACACTTGGGAATGTGTCCTCACCCTGCCCACGGTGGCTGAGTGTCTATGGGCCTAACAGCCACCTCTATCCTCTTTCCCGGGAACACGAGTTCCGTTGGAGCAGCACTGGCCCAGGTGAAGACGCCTTTCCTCCTGGCTCCCTTGCAGCTAGGCCTGGCTCTCTGAGCTGATTGTAGCCCAAGATTCCACAGAAGCCTAAGCTGGGCTTCCCGGATAAAGAGGGTACACGCCCTTTGTCCCAGTGCCAGAGCAGCAGCCTCCGGCATCCACAGGGAACAGCAGTCACAGCTGCATGTCTGCCCTGGCTGGGAGAAGAGGGACACCAGAGCGTGCCTGGTGGTCTTGGGCTGGGCACTAGCACGGACCTGCCATCAGGGACAGAGGCCCTGCGGACAGCCTCGAGTCTACACTCCGGCTTCGGCTGCTTCCGGAACACGGCGGGGGACGTTCTGGTGAACCCGAGCAGCACTGTTGGCTGCCTGGGCTAGGTGACAGGGCCCCGGGGGAGTCACAAATCCAGGAGAAGCCTCTGTGCCCACCCTGCCCTCCACCCCTCCAGTGATCCCAGGACCCAACCTAAACAGGACCCTGGGTAAGGTCAGCAGACAGCGCCATCTTCCTGGCCCTACCCCACCAGGACCCTAACAGCACACCGGAGCGGGGACGACAACCACACGGTGGGTGGTGACAGGGGCCGTACCTCCCTGAGCATGTGAGGCGTGTGTCCTGTGGGTGGGCCAGTGAGGTGCTCCCCCCACACACAGAACAAAGAAATAACCCTAAGATGCTCCGGAAACCAAGCAGTGTACCTACTGGACACAGCAGTACTACGACCCGGCAGCTGGCGGTGAGGGGCGGGCAGAGTGAGCCCGAGCACTGCCGTGCCTACACACCATGTCCCCAGCAGCTCAGGGGCCTGGTGGGGCGGGCGTGGGGGGAGGGGACCCCCAAGCCTTGGTTAAGCCAGCAGCGTGGGTCTCCTCATAGAACGTATGGCCCAGCCCTTCCTGCATGGGCCAACTCCCCGGTCACCTGGGCAGGCATGGGGACATCGCTCACTGGGGCCCAGCCACCCCTCTCCTGCCAGCTCAGGGGGTGAAGTGGACCCCAAGGCAGGGCAGAGACCCCTCTCTGGGCGATGCCTTCATAGGAGCCGGTCACAGAGCCTGGGCATGGGGACCCTCTGGGTGGTGCAGACGCTGGGGCCAGCGAGGACTCAGGTGAGGCAGAGGCCCAGCTGATGAGCCTGGGGGCAGCTCGTAGAGAGCAGAGCCAACGGCTCCAAGCTCCTGCCAACCCTCCTGGATAAGGAAGGGCTGCAAGAACAGGATGCCCCAAGACAAGGAGGCCCACGACCCGGGTCCACCCACTGGCAAGTCCGGACGGGGCAGTGAGCAGGGATCAGAGGCGAGAGGTGGGCTGAGGCAGGATGAGCCCGAGAGAGCCCAGAGTGGAAGAGTCTGGCTCCCAAGGCCTCCCTGCACCCCACCAAGGTGCTGGGGGCTCCAGAATGCACAAGGCTGACAGCTGTGGGAAGGGCCCCAGGACGACAGGCGCCCAACCCCTGGGCCGAGGCTGTACAAGCCGTGCCCACAGGCCCACGTGCAGGGTGTGGCAGGCAGGGCACCCAGGGACGGCACCGCCCAGGAAGCCCAGCGGATGACAACGAACCTCAGGGAGGAGGACGTGCCTAGGGGGGCGGGAGTCCTGCCTGACTGCGGGACCAGGGCAACACCAAGGTGTCTCTGGAGAACACTGACTTCACAGACGTCCCTGTCCAGGGCTGCGGTCCCCGCGCCCCCCGCCGTGACTCGCTGTGCCTAGAAGACAGAGCGCATCTCAGGGTCCCACCCCGAGGAGGGCATGTTGGGGGCTCCCACCAGAGGAGGCCGTGTGCTGGCTCCCACCCCGGGGAGGCCGTGTGCTGGCTCCCACCGGAGGAGGGTCTAAGGAATCACTGGTGGCCGATGCGCCATCACACCCTGTCTTCCAACACAACCCTGGCCCACTGGGCTCTGGGCCTACAGGACAGCAAGCAGCACGGAGCATCCAGGGTGGAGTCCTGCACGCTGTCCGGAATGGCCTGTGAGATGCTGGGGGAGCCCTGAGGCCGACTGTGGACAGGGTTGGCGCTGGCCTCTGCTGTGCTCCCCTGCCCTGGCCAGCCGGGATCCCTTCAGGGCCCACGTGGGGCCTTGGGAACTATAAGCAGGCACCAGAGGCCCTGTGCCTGCTCTGTCACCTCCTGTGTGTCCCGCGTTCCATGGGGCCCAGGACCGTCAGCCATGCTAGGGCACGCAGGCCCTGGTCACTGGCACAGCCTTGAGGGCAGAGCTGAGCTGGGCTCCAGGGCCATGCCGGGCAGGGACAGGCCCAGCCTGGTGCTGTCTCCCTGTCCCAGCCACAACCCAACGCGGCATCGAAGCCTGAGTCCTGGGACCTGGAAGGCCTGGGGATAACCGGGCATTTCTGCTTTAAACGATGAGCAGCCACAGAGAGGAGACCCCCCAGGTGCCACGGTATCCCTTGGGGGTAGGGTCCTAGTGAGAGAGGGGACCAGCTTGGAGTCCCATCTGCCAAGAGTCCTCCCCTCCCCTGCATGACCACGGGCTGCCCATGTCTGGCAGGCCCCTATGGGAGCCCAGGCCACCACGGCCCTCCCAGTAGCTATTCCAGGCCTGAGTCCCCTCCGGGAGGACGACGGGGTGATTGGAGGCTAAACTTAGCCACGGGCAGACAATGGTGGTCAGAATCACAGGTCGGCTGAGGACAAGCGGCAGTGAGCTCTCTGCGGTGGGGAGGTGGTGTGAGCAATAAAGGGAATCGAAAATGAAAACCCATCTGCAAGAGGCCGGCCCTGCTGGGACTGGCTGTGCAGCAGCTGAGGTGGGCCTGCCAGAAGGCGCCCTCTGTGAGTAGGGACCGTCCGTAGCCAGCACTCAGGAGCACAGCTCGGCTCAGACAGCCCTGAGGTCAGTGGCTGGGAAAACCCAGCAAGACCCTGCACCCCGGGTACAAGCCAGTGACAGGTCACAGGGCCAGCCTGACCCAGCCCATCCCGGCACCCCTTCCCTGCAGGCCGCAACTGTGGGAGGCAGGCACGCCCCATCCAGGCCCTGTGCGTGCTTGTGAACCGTCCTCTGCTGGCCCAGGGAGCCCCACAGCCCCAGGCTTGTCTATGCTCACCCCGGTGATGCCCACAGCTTTGCTTAGGAGCCAGCTCAGTCTGCACGACCCTCTGGGTACCCTGGTGGCTGATCTGGCCCACTTGCCAAGGCCAAAGGAGAGAAGCCAGCCCCCCCGATTCAGACGAGGTCCCCACAGAGCCGGGACGGATCACCTGGGGCCCTTGTGTGGCGCTGGGTTCAGCTGCTGTGATGTGCAGGCGAGGAGGTGTGACGGGGACCCGGTCGCCGCTGGACCAGGCCAGAGTATGGGGTGGTCGCAGGCAGGTGGATGGACCTGCAGAGCCCAGGTGCCTCTCCCTGGGGACTCAGGCTCGGGGGAGGGACAGGGACCCTGGGCCACCAGCCCTAGGCCAGGCCTCTCTGAGAGACAGGCACCGTCCCTCTGCTGCAGGACCTCCAGACTGAGGGCCCCAGCGCTGTCCACCGGCATCGGCAGAGGCCGCTGCCAGAAACCCCGCTCCAGCACAGCTGCTGTCCCGTGGCCCTCCTGACCCCGACAGCACCGGCCGCTGCCTGGACGCCGACGCAGGAGCTTGCTCTGCAGAGAGGGCGATTCACCCTGCAGTGCGAGCGCCTTTGTGGGCTTCTAGGTGAGGCACCCTGGGCTCAGACCCCATCAGAATGTGAAACGGAAGGCGGCCCAGAGGAAGCCACCTGCAGGCCCCAGCTTTTATGTTAAAATACATCAGGGGACTTCAAAAAGCTTGTAGGTAAACGGCGGTAAAGCATACACTTACTTTGCTGCAAAAAATCCTTGAAATCCATGCATGGTTTTTATGGAATGTGCACTTCCCATAAGCTTGCTGAAGCTCCCTTGTATGTGTGCAAAAACATTGCATGCGGCACTAGCAGGTGGTGGGACTGAAGTTACCGAATTTCCTGTCACTGGCTCTCCTCTTGACCCTGGCCTGCCTCCCACATCACCTCTAATTAACACACTCCAGCTCAAACCAGAGATGACTCACACAGGGTACCGCACACGCTCCGCAGCTGGGCCGGCACTGCCTCGGGACTCGGCCTGCTGGATGGGCTGAGCACCGCCCATGCCACGCTGTTCCCACCACTGAGCGGCCGGCCATGCGTAGAGGACCGTGTGCCTGGCTTTCTCAGGCCCTGACCCGACGGGATCTGCCCCCAGGTTCGGGGCTGGTGGGTTTGGACCATTTAAATAGCGAGTCATTCCTGGAGACGCGTGACACGACGGCCCTGCAGCCCTCCTCCCCGTGCTGGTGCCCCTCATAGGCACAGTGCGAGCAGCCAGGCTGCCGGGCCAGTGAGGCAGTGTGGCCCAACACCCCGGGACGCTAGCCCACACAGGAATGTCGCAGTGTCACGTCCTAAGGTTTTTCTGTACACACTGAGCACGTGTGCACCCGTGACCTGGGGAGGCAAAGACCCAGTTGGGGTCCTCCCTTTCTGTCTCATTCTCTCAGGGAAGAGATAAATAAACCCAAGTAAATAAATAAAAGCAGAAAGAAACATGGGGCTCTTTCCCATCCAGAGCAGTCGTGACCCTGGGGCCCTGGGCAGTGACCATCAGGTCTACACCCCAGCCTGCTGTGGGGGCATCTCAGAGCACGCCAGGCCTCAGTCCCCATCAGCTGGGACCACCTCTGTGGCCCTCTCCAGGGCTGTACCTAGACTCCAGCTGTTCCTCGGCCTCCAGGTCCCAGACTCTGAAAACAGAAGTGGCTCTCTGAAAGACACGTACGCACACCCCGCTCCAAACACACCAACGTCTGTGCTCCATGGTGGACACTGCATGGTCCGAGGCCCGGACAGCACAGGGACCAGTGCAGACACCGGAGCTTGCAGGGTAGGCGCTGGGCGGGCTCGGGGAGGCCCTGGAAGAGACCGAGTGTCGAAGTTCTCTACGAAGATGCCGTACACGGGGTACCCAGAAAAGCAGTCAGCGTGTAAGTAAAACGGAAGGAGACCAAGGTGGAGGCGCCGTGGGGACACGGTACACATCAAGCTACCCCACTGAGTGGGCCGGCCTGGGACCGCTGCCTTCACCCCAGGCCCAGGGAACCTAAGTCCCCACGCCCCAAATACGTCTGTCTGGCTGCGGACAGGACTTTAGTGCAGTGTCCTCGCCCAAAACGTGTCCACCCTCCTCTGTGGCCGTACTGAGACCACACTCAGACGCCCACCTGCCAGCTAAGGGGAGAACCAGGGCGGGTTCTGGAGGTGGCCCGTGTGACAACGGGGCCTGTGTCCATCCTGCCCACCCGTGCAAATCCATGCTTCTGCCGAATCCCAGGCAACTGCCGAGTCGTCCCCTGCGGGGCCTGCTGTGCACCTCACCGTGAGGGCACCGCTGCCTGAGGGCGGGAGGACCCCCAGGGATCTGCCCCAGGGCTTCCCTCGGGGCAGACGGGTACCATGTCTCGCAGACGTCCCATGTCACTGCAAAGGCTGGTGCAGTGACATGGCGGCTTCTGGGTACAGTCCAGCCAAGGACACGTGGCCGACCACACGCCAAAGCCGAACCTCGCGTGGACTCCGGGGTACTCGAGCGCACCTGCTCTGTGAACTCACACCCGGGGGCACACAGGGGCGGCGCTGGACGGGGTTGGCGCCCACGTGGGCCGCCAGGTCACCCTGCCCCACCCAGCAGTCGTTGCCCACCTTGTGACCTGCACAGGTGGGTCCCCGGAGACGCAGTGCCAGCCTCCCTTCCCTGCAGGGCGGCAGTCCAGATGGAGCAATGCCTGCAGCCATGACCCTGCAAAGTCAGGGTCAGGGAGGAGGCAGCAGGTCTTCAAGGTGACCCGCCTGGTCATGTGCACTCTGTGGCCTGGTCTGGTGCTTGAGCCACCCCAACCCCCGGTTCATACGGTGACTCCTCCTCCTCCCAGGTGAGGGCCACGGGAGGCCATGAGGCCACAGCGGGTCTCAGGACAGGGTCAGTGCCCTGAGAGCTCACCAGCTCTCCCACCAGGGGCGACCCAGAATCCTGGCTCCAGCACGCAGAGAAATGAGTCCTACAGCTTACACGCCACCCACCTGCGTATTTGTGACAACAGCCTAAGGGACGAGACGCAGCCTCAGCCCAGGACCCCAGTGGACCTTGCTAACACCAGCCAGCAGCCAAGGCTCCCACGGCAGCCCCAGCACTGAGCCGGGTGGCCGAACCACGCTCTCAGACAGGGTCAGCCCCCAGGCCACCCCCCAGCCAGGCCATGGGCTGCCCGCTGGGGCCTGTAGGGGCCTGGCGTCCCTGCAGGGACCGGGAGCTTCAGAAGCACAGGTGGTGTTTTCGCTTCTCCTTGTGGTTGCAGGTGGCGCCTTTGAAAGAGAAAAGGAGATTTGGAAGTGACTTGATAGCGTGCGACCGAGGCACCGTGCCCAGGGCAGAGCTGGGGTCGTGAGGTCAGCCAGAGGCTTCAGGGCCTGGTCCTGGGAGCCCAGGGCCCTGAGAGGAGGGCTGTGGGCAGCACCGGAGGACAGGAAGTGAGGCTGAGGCCTGGGGGCTTCCCGAGCCGGTGGGTGGTGCCGGTGGCTGAGCCCGACCCCTCACATGTGCCACCAGGTGGACGTCAGGATGGAGGGAGGACCCATGGCTGGAGGGAGGTCAGGCTGGAGGGAGGACCCAGGGGGTCAGGCCTGTGGCACCGCCCTCCCCAGGCTCGGAGGCCGGGCTGCAGCAGGCGGAGGCTGTGGGTTCAGAAAAGGAAGCAGGTGTTTTCCGGAAGCCATGTGGGGGTCTTCCCAGAAGGGAAGTCACGGTCACTGACCCCGTCACTCTGCAAGCGGCCTGGGCTCCCGGGGAGAACACCCACCGGGCCTGGGGTTCTCACAGGCCTGTGATGACCCCACAGTGCTCTCCCCACAATGCTCCCCAGCCACGGCCCTCTGCGGGAGCTGCCCACGGGTGCCCTGACCCGATAGCAGCTGCAAGGCCCCAGGTGGGGGACTGAGGAGGCCCCTGGAGCCAGGTCGCCACCTGCCCCACATAAGCTCACACACAAGCGCGATTCCTTGGCTGAAGACTGCACCCCAGGCTGGTGGGGCGCACGCACACATCGGACTAGCCCCAGGCCTGCAGGTCAGCCCTGTGACGGCAGGGCACTGTCCACGCGAGACTTTCAGGGTCCAGGCAGGGCAGGGTCACTGCGAGAAGCTATCTCCCAGTCCTCACTCTCACCAGGCTTCCTTCACGTTCAGGGGCAGGCTCAGGCCCCCAGGGCTCTGGGCAGGTACTGGAGGGAGGCGGGTCCTACTGTAGCCAGGGGATGCCTGCCCTCACTGCCAGGTGGGCAGGGACAGGGTGCCCAGGCCTCTGAGGACAGAGGCGCAAGCTTTGGTGAAGAAGCCCACGTCCCAGTGCTGGCACCCACAGTGGCCTGACGTGGCCAGCAGACCGCCCACCTCCCCCTCCCTCCCTCCCATGAGCCCACAGGCCTCCCCATCTGCCCTGGTCAAGATTTCATCACTGTCCCCTCCTGACTACCCCCACAGAGCCCGACCCGGCCTGCCCCCACCCTCTGAGGGGGAAGGGACACCAGCCACAGTCCGTGAGCACTGGGCACAGCCCCGACGGCATGTCCTGGCCTGTCCCCGAGGGTCAGCCTGCCCTGAGCCTCAGCACTGCAGGCTGGACACCCAAGGAGACTGCAGGGCCTCAGCTGCGACCCCAGCCTTCTCTCAGCCACCTGGGGCCAATCCCCACTCCAGCGAGCTGGCTTCCTGCCTGCCCCTCGGGGGGCAAAGGCTGGGCCTGTACCCACCTCAGACAAAGCAGCCACTTTGCAGTGCTATTCTCGGGGAAGGGGACATTCCCAGCTGGCACACGCCTGTCCCAACCCCTCCCACCTGCGCTAAGGCAGGTAACAGTGAGGCGAGAGGCTGCTCCTGAGGCAGCAACCAGAGGGACACGGGAGTCATGTCAGCGGAGCTCCCAGCAGTGGGGCTTCCTAGCCTTGGCCCCGGCGGCAACAGGTGGAAACACCTGGCTCATCCTCAGCAGTCACTCGGGTGTAAAAACATGGGCAAAGGCAGGGGACAGGCGACTGTGAGCGAGCTAGGGCCGGACACGCCCTCCTGGTGCCATCTGCACGCCGCACAGTGGGATGGATGCTGGAGCTGCAGGGAAGGCGCGCTAGCAGGCACAGGTGGGCTGTCTGGGGTCGCGCACAGGCCCAGGCTGGTTGTCCCTGACAGCCAGGACTTACAGAGGGCAGAGCAGGTGTGGCCGTGCGTGGATGCAGCGGGGCTGACATACCTCCCTCTGCACCCTCTGCTGTCCCCGGCCTCGCCCGGCAAGGGCCTGCCCGCTGGGATGGCCAGGCGCCAGCAGAGGCAAGGCCACCCTGACTTACAGTCACCTCAGAGCACACAGGAAGCTGGCCGGTGCCAGGTGCACTTGCAGGACCATGGAAGCAAGGAGACCAGTGTGGATCTGAGTCCAGGGACAAGGAGACAGCTCGGTGCCCCGTCCCATGAGCAGAGCTGCTGCCCCGGAAAAGAGTGAAAGGAAGGGGCGCCCAGTACACCCGGCCAGCCGGATGGCGATGGCTCGGCAGGCGGGCAGTGGCGGGGCTCAGAGTTCTACTCGAGGACCCGGCACTGAGGCCTGTGTGCCAACAGCTGACTGCTGGCCCACCCCGTGCAGCTGGCGGGACCAAGTGTCCCGGCACCCAGGGTCCTGCCGTGCCTGGGCTGGAGGGCTGCCCTCAGGAGCCAGCCTGGCAGCAGGTCTGGGCACAGGGCAGGGCCCCCAGGAAGGCACTGCCCCGAGTCTCCCTCCAGCTTCGGAAGTCTCGCCCAACTACATGTGGCCTTGTAAAGCCTCTCCCTCTGGGTACAGTCACTTGGCACGACCCCCTCCACCCCGTCACAAGGCTGCTGCCACAGGGTCACCCTGTCCGCCTCTGGGCAGGGTCTTACGCCTCCAGCGAGGCCTCAGCACAGCTGCTTCTGGTCCGAGTCCAGTCAGCAACCCCGGAGGCCTTGGTTACCTGACAGCCAAGGGGGTCCCCGGGAATGGTCTGCCACGCCGTCTGAGCACAGCAGTCAGCACCGGGTCTCCATAGCAACAACAGGACATGCAGGGACCCTCCGTCTGCTTCACTCAGCCCTGACCCCGGCATTTCAGATACGAAGCCAAGGCCAGTGCCCATGGGGCCATGCTGGGGGAGGCTCCCCCTCCCGGGCACAGGGAGGTTTGGGGCAGGCAGTGGGGCCCAGAGCTCCTGGCACCTACTTCAGACAGCCCCGAGCCGTCTGTCGGTTTCCTTCTGGAGAGCAGGCGGCTACATGTGTGCCCACTCAGAAGCCTGTGGGAGATGTGCTCTTGCAGACAACCCTGGACACACACATACACCCCTCATGCCTCACATACGTGTTCTCCTTGACCGCTCTT